CCAAAAAAAAAAATCTTCAGTTTCATCATTTAATATGTTAACAGTGTTCCACTGTGAGGACTGCAGTAGCTCGGTGGTCAGTCCGGGCTGTGGTTTTGTAATCCTGAAGCTGCGATTCGAGCCCAGGGTGCACCAGGAAGGGCATCTGGCGTAAAACAACGGCGAGTTCGCTCGCTGTGGTGACTCCTGCTGAGATTTTAAAATCACTGCATGCTGTTTTTAATTATATTTTACACAACTTCCCAACTGTATCCGAATTAGGGTTTCACCTTGAAAGTTCTCACTCTTCTATTATGTGGCTATAAAAAAAAATAAAAAAAAACCTTTATAAAGTTTTCAGTTAATCCAAAATGCTGCTGCAAGTGTCTTAATACAGATATTACTAACCTACAAAGTCCTCAACAACCTGGCTCTATCTTATATTACAGATCTTATTGTTCCATATTTTCCCAACAGAGCACTTTGTTCGCAGACTGCAGGCTTACTTGGGGTTCCTAGAGTTTCTTAGAGCAGAATGGGAGGAAGATCTTTCAGTTATCAGGTTCCTCTCTTGTGGAACCAACTTCCAGTTTCTGTCTGTGAGGCTGACACATTGTCCAGTTTTAAGACTGGGCAGAAGACTTTCCGTTTTGATAAATCCTATAGTTAGGGTTGGCTTGTTATGTTGCCATATATTTAGACTACTGGAGGACAAACTGACCTAATCTCTTAAAATTAATTGTTAAAATTGAATAGTTTTCATTTTATATTATTTCTATCTTAAATTGTGATTCTCGACCTGCCATTGTGTATCTGTTCCTACCAAACCCAGCTGGTCGAAGCAGACGGCCACTTGTCCTGAGCCTGGTTCTGTTGGAGGTTTCTTCCTCATGAAGGAGTTTTTCCTTTCCACTGTCGCCTTCATGCTTGCTCAAGATGAGAGTTCTGCGATGGAGTTGAACTCAAAGCAGTCTGCTCCTCAGATAAATAATGTTATTTGCTTACATTTTATGAATGTTTCTGTTCCCTGAGACGACTTCTGTTGTGACTTGGTGCTATATAAATAAACTGAATTGAATTGAACTATAAAAGAACTAAACCCAATATTTCTGGGGTTTGAGTCTTTTGCTTGGAGTGAAGGTCCTCAAAGTGAGAAAACGAATAATCCTGTTGGCTCCACGTTGTCAGTCGTTTAATATTAAACTCTAATCTGTGTTTTTTGTTTTAGTGTAAGATGAGCTTATCTGTGAATTTCTTTTGAAAGTGAAGGCTGTGAACGTCAGGTGTGTCTCTTCATGTGCAGAGCCAGGTGGTCTGAGCGGGAGAAGGCCCTCTGACACAGCAGACACTGGTAAGGTTTCTGACCCGTGTGTTTGCGGTAGTGACGCGTCAGTTCGTCTGAGCGGGCGAATTTCCAGCTGCAGCCTTCCCATGAGCACTGGTAAGGCTTCTCCCCTGTTGGTGAGAGGATAAAACGAAACGTTTGATGACAACTTAATCTGGGATTACGGACGTGTTTGTTCTTTGGTCGTTGCTGTGATTACCTGTGTGAGTGCGGAGGTGGGCCTTGAGGTGGGAGCTCTTGGTGTAGGTCTTGCTGCAGCCGGGGTACTCGCAGCTGTGGATGGCTGGCCTCTTTTTCCCAGCGGGCCTCCGGCCGCGCTTCCCCTCCACCCCACCGGGGGGCAGGTGAGGCCTGACCAGCATCTGCTGCTGGTGGTGATGGGGCGTGTGAGCCGTGGCTTGGGTGTGGGGGTATTCGCTGTAAAGGTTGGGGTTAAAGTGGGGCATGTAGCCGTAGTGTCGGGGGTCGGGGGTCACGACCTGTGGAGGGATGAACCTGCTGTTGGGGAGAGTCACCACCGGGGGGTGCTGCTGAGCGTAGTAGGTGTTGAAGTCCCTGAGGCCTCCTCTGCAGTGTCTCTCAGCACCCCCTCCTTGAGGGATTTCAAACTGATTTACATTCTGTGTGTTAGGGAACAAAATCCACGTTTGGTCTTGGCTGTAACCATGGTGATACCGCTCCGGCTGCACCGCCGGGGTTTCAGCAGGAGCCAGGAGCTCAGCCAGGCCGCCACCGTTCACCTGCAGGCTCTCCGGTCCAGTTTGGTCCTTGAACACGTTCACCATTTGGTATGTTGTGTCCAGGTTGGGTTGGACGTCCAAAGCGCTGAGGTTGAGGTCAGACGAAGGGCTGCTCCACTCAGACAGCAGGAACTCGATGTCCCAGGATGCTTGGCTCTCATCATCCAGGAGCTCGTCTGTTGCCTGTGGGCAGAGATGAACCTGCTCAGAGCTGCTCAGAGGGACAGGCCCATCGTCAGACTTCCACACCTGGAGTGAGAGCATTCAGAGATGAGGATCACAACGAAAACAGGTTTACCGATTTTAAACTCTAACAATTTAAACAATGACATTTTGCGCCGTTTTTAATTGGACCTGACACCGAGGGACAGTTTAGTTCCCAAAGAGCCTAACATACGTGTTTTTTGCGTGTGGGAGGAAACTGGAGTACCCGGAAAAAACCCACAGGGAGAACGTGAACACTGCACAGAGAGGCAGAGAGGCAAACCTTTGATTTGATTCTGAGAGGCAACAGCTTTAACCACTGAGCCACTGTGCAATTAACATAATCACAATAACAAAAAACAATAATATCTCACATTGCATTTTTTTACAACACTGTGCAGCCTTTTACTCAGTAAAGGATTTTATGACACGTCACTTGCTCTCATATGCTCATTGTGAATATTTAAAGCTAAATAAAAAGTTTCCTTTTTATAAATTCCTACAATCATTACATATAAATATTGTTTCAAGATGTTCTCATAAAAACTAATGTAGCAAGTTAACTAAGTTAAGAAAAAGGAGCTGTTAAATATCATCAGCCACAAGATTTTCAAGTTTACTGATTTAACTGCTTTGTGCTACGAAGTATTGTTAGATTTTTTTGTCCAATTTCTACCTTTGTGCAAACATATAAGAGCTAATAATGATAAAAAGGTGATAAAAGGTGGAAAAAGTCAAACATAGTTTGATAAAGCACCCAATTGCGATCCATGAACTATTCATATATATATATATATATATATATATATACATATATATACTTTATATAACAAAATGCATTTAATCTCCAGGGATGAAGCAGTGCCAATATATTATAATAAATTTTAATTAGACATTTTTGTTAAAAGCAGCCTGTAATAAAACATCTGTTTCCACTTCTTTACTTATATTTAAAAAAAGAAAAACACAAACATAAAACGGTATTTTAGCGCCAACAAGGTGATTTCCAAAAAGCTATTAGCAGAAAACTTAAAAACTCGGTAAACTCCATTACCGGCTGTAAAACGTGTTTATAAGACCTATTTTCTTTTTTCCACAATCCTCACTTTTTAGACAAAATCTGCATGATATGCTGCAGGTCCAAACACTGGACAGAAAATGCTACCGAAATCCAAAATAAGAGAGCAGAGTTAACATAATTAACTAGAGAAAGTGCATTTCCTGTGAAAATGCAGTGTGAATGCTTATTGCTGAAGAACTTGTTAAAAACAGTTGAAATTAGCTAAAATATGCTGAAATGTAGCTGAAATCAAAGAACAAGCATAAAGTAGCAGAAGAAAGCTACCTAAGCAGAAATGAGCACAACAATTAGAAATTATCTTAAAAATCTGAACCCCCCCCAAAAAAAAGGTCAAAAGTAGCTGAAAAGGTACAAAAAGCTGTAAGTAGGAGAAATAAACTGAAAGGAGCTTAACAAGCTAAAATGAGCAGAAGGAATTTAATTAGGCTGAACGCTATAGAAAATACCACAAAAATTTTTAAATTTATCTGAAAACAGCTGAAATTAGCTAAAAATGCTACAAAGGTAGCTGAAAAGGTAGAACAAGCTTTAATTAGCAGAAGAAAGCAAAAATAACACGTTTGCCCACTTAGGCTTAAAGAAGACGAAATGAGAACAAAGAAGTAGAAATTATATGAAAAATAGTAGAAAATAGCAGCAACAAAAAAGTAACTAAAAAGCAGGAAAAAGCTTAATTTACCAGAAGGAAGTAGAAAGAGCACATTTTTACTGAATTAAGCTGAAAAAAGATTAAATGAGTGCAAAAAATACGAAATTAGTAGAAAATGCTAAAATTAGCATGAAAACAGCTAAATACTAGCTGAAATAGCAAAAAAAAAGCTGAAACGCTTAAATAAGATGAACAAGCTGAAATTAGCAGAAAGGAGTTAAGAAGCACAAAAATGTTGTAGTTAGCAGACATAACCCTAAAGGAGCACAAAACAGTTGACAAAACAGCTGAAAGTAGCTGAAAATGAAAAAACATTTAAATTTGCACAAAGAAGCTGAAGCAGAGCAAAATGTGAAAGGAGCAGTAAAAGGTTGTGAACAGATCTAAAGATATGAAGGATGTAAAATGAGCTCAATTTATTTTCTATGAGAAAAAAGTGGCTGAAAAGGCTAAATATTTCAAAAAGCTAAAGTTGCACCAATACCAAAAGTCACAGCAGGACTGTCCTGAATGAGCTGAACATTTTTGATACATGACTGAAATAGTTTAAACTGCGGGACAAGAAAGATGCTGAAAAACGTACATAAGAAAAATGGATCACAATGAAGCATTCACACTATTGCTAAGTTTCAACCCCTTTGAACAATTCTTTACATCTCAAATAAAAATATGCTGCAAACTTCACTGTAACAATTCAAACAAAACAATAAAACTTATTGTTTCTTGACTTTTTGATCGCAAATGTCATCTTTTCTTGCTGTTTCTCTGTCGGTGTGTGTGGATGGCGCCGTAAAGTCACAAAACTCACCTTCATTTTGTCAGTCGTTTGTGAAATGCTGGAGAAGGAGCTGAAGGACGGCAGGGCGGCCTGAGTGACAGCCATCAAGCTCTCTGATACGACAAAAACCAGCTTCAGACGTCTTAATTTGTTTCTTTGGAGCCTCTTCTTACTACATGACTATCTTACCCTCATCCAGAAAAACTGTTACAACAGCCGACTTAACGCTTAAAGACAATAAACAGTAAAATGTCTCCGAGGTTCAACTCTCTCTGTCCCTCGTCTGTCTTGTCTGTCCCTGTCAGCTGTTTCTCAAAGTTCAAATCTCTCTTCTTCACGTAGGTTCGAACCGTTAGAAGAAGGAGGAGCGTCAATGAGAATTAATTTGCTGTTTCCTAAGATTGGTCACTTTTAATCACTAATCCACTCTGTTATCACACTTTAAGTCTCTGCCTTCCTGTTCTGAGGGATTCAGAGCAAAAAATAAAAATAAAATAAAAGTCTGAAACTACCAGTGAGTGTCCCTCTAAATATTAAATGAAATTATTATTGTTAGTTTTAAATGATAAATGGCTTTTCATTTATTATTAAAACCCCAAACCTCTTTTAATGAACCACTTTCAGTCTATACTGATATAAATGAATTAAAGCTCCATGCATGCGACTCAAAAATTATGATTTTTTGTTTGAAACAAAGAGGAAAATTATTTATTTTTTACTGTAAAATTAAAGGACTACAATTCCTTGAAAAAACGTTAACATTATGTGAATTGATAAAAAGAACCAACGTGCTTATTAAAATGCAGTCTAACGCCTACAGAGTTCTGTCAAATTAACACCTTTATATGTTGTTTTAATTTGATTTCTATTGTAAATTTTGTTTTGATTACTTTCTGGTCACATTTTAATCAAACGTTTAAATGGAGTATTAAAAAAAGCTTTAAAATACAGTTCAAAACATTTAATTTGTGTTTTAATTCATTGTAAAACCATATTTACCCTTGAGCTGTGAGAAATAGCTCACTAAAGCTGAGCAGACCACCTTATTTTACTGACAAAATAAACATTTTAAAGTTTTATTTGTTTCCCTGCTCATATTTCCCTCCTTCGGGCTGCGTTTCTGGTGAGGACGCAGCTTCTGAGAAGACCTGAGTGTGAAAGGTGATTATTTTCTGGCTCAGTTTATCTGTCTGCACGAGGCCGAGGCGGGCTGCTGCCTCCTCGCAGATAACGGTGGTCCGACTGCTGCTGGCCCCTGATGACGGGCCCGCTGCTGATAAAGACCCCCGAGTGACGATTAGGCTTCATAAAGAAAGTGGTGACCGGTTTAACAGAAGCTCGAGCACAAAGTTCATCAGTTTGACTCGAGCAACTCGAGGATTTGTTTATTCAGGGTCTGATCAGAGAACCTGGATTTCTAAAATCTTTTATATTTTCTTTTCAAGTTTAGTGATGTTTAAGAAAAAAACAAAACAATTATTTTCCTTTTTTCCCCCATTGTATTAACATTATAAATATCCCGTTGATGTGCATGTGCATAAAAATGATAAAACTTGAACATTTTCTCACTTTCTGTTTTTATTTACTGGGTATTCTCTATAAAAAGTCACTAAAAACCATTGTTCTCCCACTGGTGGCACAAAAGAGAAAAACTATTTAAAATATCAGTACAATTAGAATTTAAACACGTTTTTGGAAAAAAAAAAGAAGAATTAAACGTTATATATACACATACACACACACATTTGTGCGTATGTGCTTCATGTGATGCTAACTCTTATTTTGGAGAAACTAAGTCATAAATATGAGACGTTAGTTTATAATTGTAGGTTGCTAATACATTATTTTTTAGATAATTTATCTCAATCTCAGTTTGAGAAAATAGCAAAGGTTGACAAGGACTTATGGGCTTCCGTACTAAACTGCGGAAGTTACTGTTGACGCGCGGTTGCTGTGGCAACGAGCTGCGTTCAGGTGGATTCAGTTCAGCGAAACGGTGGGAAATTAGCGGGTTTGCGAAAACAAGGAAACTATTTTAAAAATGTAGGATATTTATATTTTTAAAATTGCTGTTAATCGTCTTTATTAAACGCTTTTTAAAGTTCTTGTTATTTTGGAATAAAGCTATTTTTGGCTTTTAAAAATATATATTTTACGTTAGTTGGTTACTGAGTGATAGCTATTAAAAAAGCTAATAAGTTTAGCTAGTGAAATACCTAAGCTGTTCAAAAGAAACATTAAAGACTAAAGCTTGCACTTAAAAAAAAAGCCCATTGTAGTGTAACAAAGAATAAAAATATAAACGGAGTAATATTGAAAACTTCGTTTGCTTGTTTGTTTTTATTTTTATTTATTTTAACGAGACGCTTGTTTGTTTTTGCCAGTTGGAGTCTGCTTGCTTCCGTTGGTTCATCAGATGGAGACCTCTGGAGGCAGCAGAGGATTGTGGAACAATCCCAGACCTCAGTGGAGCAAGGAGGTCCAGGACATGATGAGATGTGAGTTATTTTGTTGTGGGGTCGAGGCCATAAATTGTGGCTCTAATAAACATTTGATTTGAATCTTGATTATTTGAAGTGTTGCACCAAAACTGGACAAAATCATAATTTAGGCATAGTCATTGAAGCTGATTAGACCCTAGATTTGTGTAAACTTGACCCAGGTTTTAGCCTAGTCAATTATGCAATCCAATTCAAAAATACTTTATTAATCCCAGAGCGAAATTAAAGAAAAATATGTCATATGCAAATATGCGTGCAGGAAAGATTACCTTTTGTCTTGAAGTTGCTCAAAGTGTTTAGTGTTGGGGTTAACTACCCTGCTTTGTTATCAAATATACAGAGCAGATTTTTCCCCATCATTTATACATCATTAACTTTCTTTTTTTCCCCCCTTCCATCTTGAGAGCAGTTTAGACTTGTATCTTTTGATACGACTGGCGGACAACCTCATTTTGCTGATCGGAGTCTTGCTCTTTATTTAGAAAAGCTGACAGGGAGGTTTTTGAAAGACACTAACCCAGCTCTGCAACTTCTCTGGAGCTTTGGCACAAAATAACAGAAATGGATGCACGAAAATCTCATTGTAGCAGTTCTCTTGTCCATTTTCCTGCATTGTATGAACAAAAAAATATGTAACGCAATATTAAGACAAAACACAAACATATAAAAGTTACATTTTTTAAATTATATATTTATATATATACTGCCTAGATGGCAGCTATCTGCTCCACAGGGCTGTGGTAGCTCAGTGGTCTGTGGGTGAGTCAGGAAGGGCATCTGGCGTTTAAACAATTTTCCAAGTCTTCATGCGAGTTAATTCACTGTGGCGACCCATGAAGAAGGGAGCAGCCGAGAGAAGAAGAATTTTATTTTATTTTATTGAGCCTGTTTACAACATCATTAATTTAACTTTCACCTGTACATGGTGTGGTCTTTCTGGAAAATCCACTGACAAAATTAAACATTTTAGCACGTTTACAGCATGTTTCTAAGAAAAATATATTCAGTTTTACAAACATATTTTTCCGTTCCAAGTTACTGGAATCAGATCTGGAAAAATACAAAGTCGTTCTGATCACAGTGAGAAAAGTAAACGTTTGTCATTTATTGAAACTTCATCAAGTTTAAGTAAATGAACTTTTTAATCGTTAATAGAGACAATTCAATCTTTGACTGACTGAATTTTTATGTTGATTCAAATAACCACAGACAAGCAGTAGAAGATGGAGCTGAAGAAAGATGGAGGATTTCAAAACATAAACCATTTTATATGTAGCATATAAAACTAAATAAGTTGCATGATTCCACTTTGACTTTATTTCAGTCTTAAATGAGGTTTTGCTGCTTTAAACAAGATGAATTTTGTCAGAGAAGGTGCAGAAACGTTCTTTTGGCTGTAAATGTTGCAGATCACTGATCTAACCATAGTTCAAAGCTAAAAAAAAGAACAAACGCCTGTCCTCTAATTCTCTTGTTTAATGTCATGTTTCTTACTAAAGAAACACCAACGAGCTGGTCAGAATCATGTCATTTTTATTTTGCTAACTTTGCCAAAATATATTTTTCCTTCTGTGAGTTGTTAAGTTATGTTAATGAAGGCGGCACTAAAAACACTGATGAGAACTTCACTCATCAAAATATTTATGTTCTTAGTTTCTCTAGCCTTGATAATAGAAGCATTTTTGATAATTAATACATTAAATTAGAATTTATTAAAAACAAAGTGCAGAACTATTCATTAAAACAATAACTTGATTAATTTTGTTTTTTAATGGCCCGAAATAATTAAAATATGAGAAACGTCATATGTCAGATTTATTCATGTTTTTATGTGATTTAGTTTGTGTGGTCTTTGTGTGTCTGCGTTCATTCAGCACCGCAGTGATTGTGTTTTATATATTTTTATTCAGTAAGAAAAGAGGAATCGAAGCTCACCTGTTTCCAGAGAAAACCCATGAACAGAAACTCAAAAAGTGAGTCGGATTCAAATTTAAAACTATAAATTTGTGATTTCTTACATTTCTTTACGCAGACATCAAGTGTGGCTACTTCACGTCATATTTAAATGTAATAATTTATTGAAAAGTCTTCATCTATTTTCATTTTAACACGTCATATCACATTTGTTATTAAAAACTTTCCCCGGTAACGGAGCAGCCTCGGCTCAGACTCCTGATCCTTCGTCTCCTTCCTCGAGCGAACCCGTCCGGATATCTCTGCCGAGGAAAACTCAGAGAAGAAGCGCCGAGTCTTGTCGATCGGGGAACGGCTACGAGCGGGAAAAGTTCCGGCCTGGTCCTACACGTATGTTCATGAAACCTTACGTGTGCACAAAAATGCATTTAAAGTTTTCTGCACCCTGACAACCACTCGGATCTTTTTCTCCACTTGTGATCTCAGGAGACTTGGAGAAAGAGAAGAGGAGGCTTCAGAACATCTTGTCAACAGGCAAGGAGTCCACACCTGAACCTCTGAAACCTCAAAAGTCAACTGCAGGTCGTGGACCAGAAGCATCAGAGGAGGTCGATCGCCATCAGGAAGGTGAGGCTGATGCCACAGAGACGGTGGAAAACTTCAGATTTAACAAATTACAGCATGAAAAAGGGCAGCAAACGATTTGTCTTCGCCACGCAAAGGTTTTAAAGAAAGTCTTCATCAGTGTTACTCTGCATCAGTGGGTGTGGGTCACTCACGCAGGAACATCTTGTGCAGACACAAAAACCTTTCAAAAGATCCCTGGACGCGGATGGTGATCCAGATCACCACCAACATTTAATAATGTGTTCTCTGTGACAACCTCTACATTTATTGAACATTTCATGAAAATCCCTTCATATACTTTGTAGTAATCTACAGTAACTGGTAATCGATTGGCAGAGGTAATAATATAAAATACAGCATGTATTTTGGTCACATAAACATGTCTGAGTGACAAAAGCATATAAACAGAAATTTTTTCAGGCTCAAAAATTAGGCTAAAAATAGAAGCACCCTCGTAAAGACCCCGCGCCCCCCTCAGTCTTAGAATAATGGTTCCTGAAGTTTTTGCCTTCTGACACCAAAACAATACAAGTTTTAGAGATCTGTGACTCCAAACTTTGCTTACTAAAGCACAAAGATGTCACTGAAAAGATAACAAATTAATTGTTATAACATTACGAGCTGACTTGACACATTTTTAAGTCAATTTATGATGAGTCTTTATCTCTCGTAACAATATTGACAATTTTTTTGGTGCTAATTTCTACATTTAAATTGATTTCTTGATATCATCTCCAGATCTCCCCCCGTTAGGTTGTGTGATGGCCCTCAATGTGGTCCCAACCCCAACTTTGAGAACTACTGCCTTACAAATTTCTTTCTTTTTAGTTCTAAATGAAATAGACGAAAGAAGACAGTTCCTGGCAGATGTGGCAGCTCTGGGTCAAGAAAGGCCGTACGTTGACATCATCAACACAGAGATATCTCAGGTAAATTAAAGTCACATAAAAACATAAGATTTTTGAATGTGTGCTGCCAAATACACCAGTGGGAAATTAAATCAGATCAGTGCATTCAACCTAAAAACAAAAGGTTAGTATTCATTCTTTGTTGTTTTGGCACAAATGACAGAAAATCCGTGAACTGGAGTTGCTGGATCGGACCAGCAGTCACAAGTAGGAAGTAATGACAACTCGCTGAACTGACGAGAGGAAAATTGAGATTAATAATGACCAGACGCAGCATCAGCTTCAAGATTCAACAAACTTAAAGAAACGCGACGTCTGTGGAAGTTACAAACCATCAGCTGCCGCCAACTTTTATTTTAATGAACACAACAAACTTCTTAAATAAACTCGTTTTATTCTTCTTCCAACCAGAGTCAGAAGTTGATTTAATCCTGCTGATGATGTTGAAGACAGTATAACGGATGGAAAGCCCTTGGTTTCAGCTGGACAGGAAGTCGAGACAAAGCAGAGACAAAAAAAAAGCACGATCTTAAAGAACGGAGCACGTAAATACATCTAGACAATAACTCCAATGAGGTTCAGCCACATGTTCAATTAAATAAAAACACAGCATCAAATTTAATACTTTGTCCCCATTTTAAGGCAAAACAACAGTAAAGGCATGTTAAAATATAAATTAATAGTTGCACACACGAGCATCTTATCCTAAGCTGATGGTTAAAACGGTTTTAAACTGGTGTTCTGTACGCAGATACATTTAGCTTGCATGTGACCGATTTATAAAATTACGATGCGTTTGAAGTTTTCACCTTGGTTCACGATGTTTTCTGGGCTGCACAAACAACACAAGTAAACAAACTGAATAGCAGCAGGAAATATTTCTGTATACTTTGACACTTTAGCAGAAAAGAAGCGTTTAACTTGTACAAGTACCACAGGTTCAAGACAGACGTGTCAGAAAAGTCGAACAATTGTGAGCAAACGCGTTAAAAACTCGTGAATTTTTTTTTGTATTCTTCTTTCAAAGTGAAGTGCAGTCAGAACAACGCAGGAAGATTAAAGGTTTAACACTGAAATTAGCAAAGCACCACAGAAGCGTGCTTCACTTTTCATTAGCTTTCACGTTCAGAGCTCAACACTCGTAAAGCACTTGAGTGGAATTGGAGTTGAAAACGATCAGTGAAGTTAATGGGGCTTTCATCTTCTTGATCTGATATGTTTGAGGCTTTTATTTTTAACTCATGATCCTAAAATAGTTAAATAGTCTATCGTCTTTTTAAAGACGTGTCCTCCGCCGCTCAGCTCTTCTCTTTACGAGGGCTGTGGCTCTTTCCCGGTTCTCTTTTATGGCTCAGCCGCTTGAGCACCTTTATGGGTTTAAATTTTGCCCCTTTTTTCTTTTGGTGGTCGCCATCATGATCCTTGTGAAAGTCTGATGAGGATTTAAACAGAAAAAATGACATTAACTTTTAAAATAATTTTTTAAAGGCAGAAAAAAATGATCAACTGTTCATTTATCGTACCTTTTTTCTTCAGCATGGCATCCATAAGTTTGTCCTCTTCTTCTTCCCTGTTAACACAACCACCATTAGACTGTCGGCAGTTGCAAATATTAACTAGAGAAACTACAATTACTGCAAAAATGCAGTGTGAATGCTTATTGCTGAAGAACTTGCTGAAAAAACTGCTGAAATTAGCTAAAAAAAATCATGCTGAAATGTAACTGAAATAGAAGAACAAGCCAAAGTTAGCAGAAGAAAGCAGAAAGAACAAGTATTTGCTGAATTAGATTTACATAAGCAGAAATGAGCACAAAAATTCTGAAACTAGCAAAAAAAAAAAAACTGATATTAGCAACAACAACAAAAAAGCTGAAAAGTAGCTGAAACGGCAGAAAGAAGCTTAAACTACCAGAAGGAAGTGGAAGGAGCTGAAATTGGCACAAAAAATGTGGAATTAGCTGAAAAAGCTACATTTAGCACAAACAGCTAAAAAGTAGATGAAGTAGTAGAAACTAACAGAAAAATGCTGAAATGAGCATAACACGCTGAAATTAGCAGAAAGAAGTTAATTAGACTAAAAGTAGAAGAAATTACCACAAAATCTTGAATTTATCTGAAAACAACTGAAATTAGCTATAAATGCAACAACAACAAAAAAAAACACCAGTAGCTGAAAAGGTAGAACAAGCTTAAATTAGCAGGAGAAAGCAGAAAGAACATGTTTGCTGAAAGACGCAGAAACGAGCATAAAAACGTGGAAATGATCTGGAAAAAGTTTAAATTAGCATAAAACAGCTGAAAACAAGCTAGCAAAGCAGAAAGAAGCTTAAATAACCAGAAGGAAGTGGAGAGAGTACATTTTTGTTGAATTAGGCTGAAAAATGTTGAAATGAGTCATATGAGTCACATAAAACAGCTAAATACTAGTTGAAATTGAAAAAACTGAAACTTGCAGAAATAAGCTGAAAGGAGCATAAAAAGCCGAAATTAGCTGAAAGTAGCTGAAAAAAAGTTTACATTTGCACAAGGACGCTGAAAGAAGCTGAAGCAGAACAAAATGTGAAAGGAACAGTAAAACGTTGTAAACAGATCTAAAGATTTGAAATGAGCTCAGTTCATTTCCTTTGAGGGAAAAAAGTGGCAGAAAAGGCAAAATATTTCAAAAAGCTAAAGTTGCACCAGTACCAAAAGTCATAGCAGGGTTGTCCTGAACGAGCTGAACATTTTGATATATGTTGAAATAGCTTGAAAACTGCAGGACAAGAAACGTGCCGAAAAACGTACGGAAGAAAAATGGACCCCAATAGAGTGAACGCTTCATAGACATTGACACAACAAGCTGTACTTTATGGACACCGCTTGTACGCAGACTACTACTTAACGATATTATTGATTACCTCTGCCGGTCCTGGTCCATGTTGTTGACGATTTGGTTGCGCTGTTCGATGATGGTAACTAGCTCAGCCATGAGCTCCTGCTCCCGACTCTTGTCCTCCTCAGTCCAGTCTTTCTCTGATTCAAAATGAAAGGAGTGATAATAATTCACATTTCCCCCCTTGGCTGTATTGGTCTATAAATTATTGATGCAACAGTGAAGCATCATTTGATCCAGAGTTAAATGCACATCCAGTCAGAGACAGAGGATTAATGTTGCACGGAGTGCTTCGCTTCATGTTTCTTTCAGGAGTTATGTTCACAAACAGCAAAAATAATATTTTTAAATCCCACAAAAATCCAAGCAGCTTTTATTAATCAAACATTTAACTTTGCTTATGTTTAAATAAAACAATAGAGGCAGAATAGAAAGTGTAAAAAAGGTTGCGTGAAGCCTCTTCCCATACCTGGTTTGTTGAGAAGGCATCGTAGTTCATACTCCACGTCAGCTTGCCTCTCCTCCAGGTTCTGCTGCTTCGCTCTACAGTTTGTTGTGAAAGCACGTTTATTATTTTAAACCAATTTAACCACACATAAAAATACAACCAGCTAAAATTAAACTGAGCTACAACAGAACTGATGATTCCTTCTAAACACAATCCTTCATTTCGAAGTGTGGGATGTTTAATTGCTGTTGTCATAATAATAAAGTCCCTCGCTACTTCGCAGTTTGACTTTCGCGGACTCGCTCTATTGCGGTTTGTGAATGTACAGTCCATGATATATATTACTGGACAAAAAAATAAAATACCATGATTGGGACAGTACTGGATACAGTGCTGTACAATAAAAAGTTAATGAAAAATAAAATATTTCGGACAGGTGCCGCCATTTTGTAGTTTTCTCTCTGTACGCCTCCAGTGTACATTCCCACTCATAATGACCACATTTCCCAAAGGGCAACAGGGCCCCGCCCAGAAGCTCTGTTTCCTTCTGCTGAACAAAATGGAGGTACAGAAAAGTTTTGATATGATCAGCACCCCCAGAGCAGAACCAGACTTCCAGACCCATCTGTAAATCTTGAGAGCTGGTAGCCTGCCCACGTGGACCTCAGAGTAAACGTGCGTGGCTGAGGGTCCAGCGCTCTGTCCGGAGCCCATTAGGACTTTTTTCACCTCTTTCAACCGGCCAACGACGAGCCCTGAGCGGGACGCGCGCGGCCGATGATCCATCTGAAACTTAACGGGACTTTTTTCACCTCTTTCAACCGGCTGATGAGGACCTCCGAACGGGGACACATTGGTAAGTAAAATTTAGTAGCTATATTATGTTGTTAAAATTAGTAGGACTAAGAGTTTAGAGCATTGATTGATGGGTTGCTGCAGGGTACGTCTGCAGGAACAGAACAAAGTCGGACCGAAATGAACCGCTCCTGTTCTAGAGCCTGGTAAGTAAAATTTAGTAGCTACACATACAGATACAGTACTGCATGTTGTTAAAACGAGATAGGTTTAAGAACTTAGAACATTGCAAGAGTGTGGGATGGGCTTCTAAACAACTCCTCCTCCTACTACTACAACACATAATTTCATACGATCTCATGTGGTACATGAGATGGTAATGACAATAAAGTTTACTTGAACTACTGTATCCTTAGTTTGCCGTTTTTCACTTATTGCGGTGGGCGTGGTCCCCTAAACCCCGCAATAAACGAGGAAGTATTGTATCTACATTTGAAGTGTTTATCTAAATCCCCATTATAGAAATGATTAATTTTGAGTTTCCATTACTGAAACATCCAGAACTTACGTGTAAACTAGCTCAGCTTCACGCCGCACTAAAAGATGTTTATCGTGGATGAGAGTGAACCAATCCACCAGCAGGCGCTCCTCATCTTCATCTGAGCACACAAGGAAAAAAAAACACTGAAATATTTTTGCATGAAAAAAAAAGTGTAGTTATGAAATGAGCAAAACAACATGTGTGATACCATTAGGGTTGTCCCTCAGCTGCTTCTCCAGCTCCACGCCCTTCTGCTCCATCTCATCCAGCTGCTGCTCCAGCTGAGCCATCTCTGCATGGATATCCTCGACTGGGATGAACTGGTCCGACTGCACCTGCGTGGATTTTTGCACTACATCAGAGTGTGCTCAAAATGGCATTCTCCTTTATTTACAATTTACTTTTAAACTTGTGAACCTTGCGTTTGATAAGCGGGAATCCATGCCCGGGTGCCGGGGGTCTGGCAGGTCGTGGGCCTCTTGGAGGTCTGGTTTCTGATTTGGCAGCACTTGCTTTCCTGTTAAACGGGTTCTCCTTACAAAACCGCTAACGCACAAAAAGAAGCATTAGTATTGTTCATGCAAAGAGCAGAGCTTTACACCAGCTTCATTTGAAAGTGATTTTATTACTTTGTTGTTTGTGGCTCTTTGTGGTGCGGCTCCAGGATCTCTAGTGGTCCCAGAGTTACGACTGGTCTGTGGGGTGGCTGGAGCTGAGCTAGCATTAGACAGCGCTGGAAAGGGGGCAGGACTTAAGGAGGGGTGATGCTGAGGATGAGCTGAGGAGGAGGAGGAAGAGGAAGGCGAGTTGTCGGAGGGTGAACAGATGGAAGGCTCAGAGACGCTCTTGGTGAAGCCCTGTCCCTGGTCGTTGCTGGCACCCAGGGGGTTCAGGGAGGAGCTGTGGTCTGAGGCAGAGGACAGACTCTCTATACTGAGAGCTGGAGAGGGAGAACAGGAGGAAGACTGAGACTGAGCTGAGGAAGAACAGTGGTGTAAAAACAGAAAACGCACAAAAAGACAGGAATTAAAGTAGAGGCAGTTTAAAATGGAAAGAGGATGGAGGATAAGAAGGTTCATTGTTAACATATGATTACATCACACATTCTCATACTTCGTTTTAAATCTGTATCTACTCTGAAAGAAGTTTTGCTCTTTAAACTTTGCACTTTGAACTCAATCACTCTTCTTGTTCTGTTAATCTGATAAGCCAACTTGCATTAAATTTCACTTGTTTTACTGCATCTCAAGTGACCTAATCAGGTGAAAACTGACAACCTTAACTTACAAAGTTCAATATTTAACAAGCTCCCAAGTGAAGAATGAGTTCTCAAAGTTACACGTTTATTCACAAGTTATAATATTAATAACAGTTAAAAGAAGACTTAAAGATGTAAGGAGCTATGCCGGACAAGAGAGCTTGAGAGTTTATTTTAATCATTTAACAAATCAACATGATACGTTTAACAGTTCTGATGGTGTCAAATGAATAAACAGTTGGGGACAAAATTTGAGGGGAAATCAATTTTCAAACATAAGAAAACCCTAAAACTAAAGTTTTCTCATTCTAAAACTAAATTAGCGTTGATGACCTCAGCTATAACAGCAAAGCGCCAACAAATCAGCATCTCGGCAGGAAGCAGTGAGCCCACGCCTACAGGCGGCTGTTCAAACGGCAACAGTACAAGGTTTTTTTTATTGTTTCAGCCTTGCATCCACATAAAAACAGCATTTTAGGAATCTCTGAATGAGAGTGGAAAAATCTTCAAACACTTCTTTTTATTATGTGAATGGCTTTGAAAATGATGATGTCATAGCCCTCTAATCTAACCGATAAGACGTGGGCATTCTCTTTTTATTTTTTGTACCCAGCTTTTTGCAAATGCTCCACACCTTGTTTCTGGTTTTGGGTGTATTTTTTGTGGCAGCGTTCTACAGCCCCAAGTACAGACCTAGCTACTATGACGTTTTGGGTCGTTTTCAATCCTTTTTCGTGGACAAGACAATTTTAAAAAAGAAAGAAAAAAAAAACAGTATTGTGTGTTCAAGGATATTTTTGAAAATGACTGATAAATGGATTTTTTAAAAACCTTACGTTTCTATGTAGAGTAGACAAGACTTTAGTCCACAAAATGAAACAAACGTATGGTAATTATTGTTTTGGCCTTTAACGTAAGTTAGCATAGCACAAGTAAAGAGTATTTATTAACAACAGCTGTGTGCAAACACTTTTTAGATCTTAAACTTATTTGTTCACCTAAGCAAGTGAAAGTGTTCAAGCGTTTGCATGTTTTTTATATATATATATATATATATATAT